GAAAGGGGAGAGACTACGACTAACACCAAAGAAATAGAAATAATTATTAGAAATTATCATCAACAACTATATGCCAATAAATTAAGCAACCTGGAAGAAATGGATGCCTTCCTGGAAACCTATAAACTCCCAAGACAGAAACAGGAAGAAATTGACAACCTGAATAGGCCAATAACCAATAACGAGATTGAAGCAATGATCAAAAATCTCCCAAAAAATAAGAGTCCAGGGCCTGATGGATTCCCTGGGGAATTCTACCAAACATTCAAAGAAGAAATAATATCTATTCTCCTGAAGCTGTTTCAAAAAAATAGAAACAGAAGGAAAGCTTCCAGACTCATTCTATAAGGCCAGCATTACCTTGATCCCCAAACCAGGCAAAGACCCCATCAAAAAGGAGAATTTCAGACTGATATCCCTTATGAATATGGATTCCAATATTCTCAACAAAATTCTAGCTAATAGGATCTAACAATACATTAAAAGGATCATCCACCACGACCAAGTGGGATTTATCCCTGGGATGCAAGGGTGGTTCAACATTCACAAATCAATCAGTGTGATAGAACACATTAATAAGAGGAGAGAGAACCATAGGGTCCTCTCAATTGATGTAGAAAAAGCATTTGACAAAATACAACATCCTTTCCTGATTAAAACTCTTCAGAGTATAGGGATAGAGGGAACATTCCTCAAGTTCCTAAAATCCATATATGAAAAACCCACAGCGAATATCATCCTCAATGGGGAAAAGCTGAGAGCCTTTCCCTTAAGATCAGGAACACATCAAAGGTGCCCACTCTCACCACCGTTGTTCAACATAGTACTAGAAGTCCTAGCAACAGCAATCAGACAACAAAAAGAAATAAAAGGTATCCAAATTGGCAAAGAAGAAGTCAAACTCTCTCTCTTCACAGATGACATGATACTTTATGTGGAAAACCCAAAAGACTCCACCCCTAAATTACTAGAACTCATACAGCAATTCAATAATGTGGCAGGATACAAAAATCAATGCACAGAAATCAGTTGCTTTCTTATACACTACAAATGTAACTATAGAAAGAGAAATTAGAGAATCAATTCCATTTATAATAGCACCAAAAACCATAAGATACCTCAGAATAAACCTAACCAAAGAGGTAAAGGATCTATACTTTAGGAACTACAGAACACTCATGAAAGAGATTGAAGAAGACACAAAAAGATGGAAAAACATTCCATGCTCATGGATCAGAAGAATAAGCATGCTATATTACAAAGCCGTGATCACCAAGACAGCATGGTACTGGCAGAAAAATAGACACATAGACCAATGGAATAGAATAGAGAGCCCAGATATGGACCCTCAACTCTATGGTCAAATAATCTTCGACAAAGCAGGAAAAAGTATACAATGGAAAAAAAGAGTCTCTTCAATATAGTGTCCTTCTGTGTCTCTAACTACAGGAAAATTGGACAGCTATATACAGAAGAATAAAATTAGACCATTATCTTACACCATACACAAAGATAAACTCAAAATGGATGAAAGACCTCAATGTGAGACAGGAATCCATCAAAATCCTAGAGGAGAACATAAGCAGTAACCTCTTCGACATCAACCACAACAACTTCTTTCAAGACACGTCCCCAAAGGCAAGCGAAACAAAAGTGAAAATGAACTTTTGGGACTTCATCAAGATAAAAAGCTTCTGCATAGCAAAGAAAACAGTCAACAAAACAAAGGCAACCCACAGAATGGGAGAAGATTTTTGCAAATGACACTACAGACAAAGGGCTGATATCCAAGATTTATAAAGAACTTCTCAAACTCAACACCCAAAAAACAAATAATCAAGTCAAAAAATGGGCAGAAGACATGAACAGACACTTCTCCAAAGAAGACAGACACATGAAAAAAATGTTCATCATCATTAGCCATCAGGGAAATTCAAATCAAAACCACATTGAGATACCACCTTACACCAGTTAGAATGGCAAAAATTGACAAGGCAAGAAACAACTAATGTTGGAGAAGTTGTGGAGAAAGGGGAACCCTCTTACACTGTTGGTGGGAATGCAAGTTGGTACAGCCACTTTGGAAAACAGTGTGGAAATTCCTCAAAAAATTAAAAATGGAGCTACCCTATGACCCAGCAATTGCACTCCTGGGTATTTACCCCAAAGACACAGATGTAGTAAAAAGAAAGGGCCATATGCACCCCATGTTCATAGCAGCAATGTCCACAATAGCCAAACTGTGGAAAGAGCCAAGATGCCCTTCAAAAGACGAATGGATAAAGAAGATGTAGTCCATATATACAACGGAATATTACTCAGCCATCAGAAAGGATGAATACCCAACTTTTGCATCAACATGGATGGGACTGGAGAAGATTATGCTAAGTGAAATAAGTCAAGCAGAGAAAGTCAATTATCATATGGTTTCACTTATCTGTGGAACGTAAGGAATAGCATGGAGGACATTAGGAGAAGGAAGGGAAAAATGAAGGGGGGGTTCAGAGGGAGAGACGAACCTTGAGAGACTATGGACTCTAAGAAACAAACTGAGGGTTCTAGAAGGGAGGGGAGTGGGGAGATGGGTTAGCCTGGTGATGGGTATTAAAGAGGGCACATACTGCATGGAGCTCTGGGTGTTATACACAAACTATGAATCATGGAACACTACATCAAAAACTAATGATGTACTGTATGGTGATTAACATAATAAAATAAAAAAATTAATATTAAAAAATGTTTCTTGATGATTATGTAATACAATGGAAGTGTTAGTTAATGCTAGGACATAATCATTTCACAACATGTAGGTATATCAAATCAACACCTTGTACATCTTAAACTTACAGAGTTATGTCTATTATATCTCAATAAAGTTGGAAAAAACTCAAGTAATTTGGAAATCAGATCAATTTAGCAAATGATATGCACTACAGCTTATATCATTTGCCAAACAGTTTTAAGAAATATGTAGTACATGAATTAAAAGGAATTTTAAAACTTAGCTTCATGTTTTTTTATTTTAAATTACCCAACAATTTATTAACTATTTTGAGCATCGCCTCTGCCTGCTACATGCCAACAGCCTCAGTCTTGTTCCTGTACTTCTCTCTCCTATTAGACTAGAACCCACTCCATTGCCCACCCAGAAGGCAGGAATGCCTTCCCTCTGGTCATAAGGTCTGCTCCAAACCGCTAGAATGGACCTTAGAGATCACATCCAGGTTTCACTTTACACCTGGGAAAGTTGAGATCTGGCCACAGGACCAGACTGGTGCAAGAACAGGCAGCCGTGAGGACCCAGAGCTCCTGGCTCTCCTCAAGAAGTCACCCTGAAACATAAGGGCCAAGAACTTACACTAAGATGTGGGCTCAGATACCAGCTTTGCCACTTACTAACTGTGTGACCTTAACTGTTTAATTTCTTTTCTTTTTTTTTTTTAAAGATTTTATTTATTTATTTGACAGAGAGAGACACAGCGAGAGAGGGAACACAAGCAGGGGGAGTGGGAGAGGGAGAAACAGGCTCCCCGCTGAGCGGGGAGCCCAATGCGGGGCTTGATCCCAGGACCCTGGGATCATGACCTGAGCTGAAGGCAGTCACTTAACCAACTGAGCCACCCAGGCGCCCCTGTTTAATTTCTTTTAGTCTCTGTTTCCTCATCTGCAAAATTTAGATAATCCTACCTCCTGAGGTCATTGAGTCAATGAAACTGTGTGTATGTGTGTTAAGCTCTCATTATCATTATAGCTTTAATGACTACTCCAGGAAAGTCTCTTATTTTCTCATCATAACCTAAATAGCCCTCTCCTCAGAAACCACAGCCACCATAAGCACCTGAAAAGGCAGGAAGCGGGAAATGAAACAAGAGGACAACTGACTCTAGCTTGTGTGGATAAACAAAGGAATACAAATGGCCTTGACTTTAATATCTGCTGGCTCCAGTGTCAGGGTGGCTCTAGGGCACCATCATAGGGTCTGGATTACTTACAGAACTGTGCTAGGGAAAGCAGGCCAGCGCTCAGACACATAGCTCAAAGCCGCCTGTGTTAGGACCTGAAAAAGCCTGGTCTTGGGTCAGCAATATCTTACACCCCCACTGTTGATGCAGAGGCACTTCTCAGCAACAGCTTTGTAGATAGATATCAGAACTCACCACTAGCAAAACACCATCAATAAAACTAAATTAAGAAAAAAAAGTTATAGAATTGGTAACCCCCCCCTCCGTCTCACCCCCACCACCACTACCACCGCCAACTGAAAAAGATTCATGATTAAAAAGGTGAAAATATCAGATTAAGAGAAAACTAGCACAAGCAGGATAAAACTAAGTCCCCTGGATCCTGCTTCAGGGCTGTTCTCTGTTGGGGTCATGTTCCAAATAAACATAAATCAGACTTCAAAAGCCTCAGAGTAACATAGTCTTTAAGGTATCTTGAATATGTGCAAAAGAGGAATTACACCACAACTAGAGAACTAAACCGAACCTCCTAAAAATCCTCCCTGGCCATCCACACCTCCTGCAGCCAAAGGTGCCCAGCGCTGCAGCACTCTGCTTCCTCACAGCCTCTTCAGGGCTTTCTCCCAGGCGGCCTGGGCCCTGTCCAGCACGCACTGGCTCAGTTCTGCATCTGCTCCGTCCACTGCCCCAGTCAGCCCTACGGAGGCTGAGGCGGGTGCTGAGCAATGGTCCCTCCTCCTTAGCAGGCAAGAATGGGAGGCTGAGTATGTATTCTTTACTACTTTCTCCCCTAGGAAACCATTTGTAATGCCATCAGAGACCTAGAAAGCCCACAGTAGAGTTCTAAAGGCCTGTATTACAAGCACCGGAAATCCACTCCTTGGGTGGATCACTTTCTTCTCCTATTGCTCAGAAGAGACCACTACGATTGGAATCTATTTGGGCAGATCCCCCTACAGGTTTTTGTCACCTACAGACTGTTCTGTTCTCTTCACAGTTTTAAATGAGACCCTGATGACTTGAATTTTAATCTCTTACCTGCTTTTAGTCTCCTTTGTTTTATCTTCTCAAGTCTGAGACAGATGCCGAAGAACCATGTGACCTTTACCCGAACCTCACCACTTTTAAAGGGCTTGTTTTCCTTGGCCAATTTCTTGTGAACAATTGAGAATAAAGCCACACACAGGCTTGGTTCTCCTGAAAGGGAAAACCATTCTGTTAGGTTCTTATTTTAAAGAGTCTATGTGGCTGGCTCAGTCTGAAGAGCATGTGACTCTTGTTCAAGCCCCATGTTAGGTGCAGAGAATACTTAAATAAAAAACTTTTAAATAAAATAAATGGTCTACATTGAATGACACTATGGAAAAATATTATGGGTATTTTTGTAATACAAAGAACTAGGTTATATCCAAACCACAGTGGCTCCAGATTATGACATTATTCAACAGACATTTCAGGTGCCCAATGTCCCATGTTTAAGGGCAAAAAACTTTTTCCCTCATCCCTGAACTGAGTTCACTCTTGCAGTAAAGGTGGCCATGCTATAGCATAAAGCCCACAAGCTCTGAAATCATAGGACCCAAGTTCAAGACATGGCCCTAACTCTTCCAGACTCTAAAACCTTGCTCAAGTGATAAAAGATTCTATTTGCTGATCACCTAGTAAATTAAATGTAGCTATAAATTCTTTGCAGCTTTTCTCATCAACAAGGGAGTTTCTCCAAACTTTGCATTGTGACTGGTCTTGTGATTTGCTTTGACTAATTGAATGTGGCAGAAGCAATATTGTGCAAGTTCCAAAGCTTTGTAGCTTCTGTCTCCACCATGTTGGAATGCTTCCCTGGGACCACAATGTAAGAAAGGTAATCTATCCTTCTGGAAGAGAAGGAGCCACATAGGGAAGAAGCAAGGCCTCATAGCCCACATCTAACATCAACTGCCAAATATACAAGTGAGGTGTTCTTGGATCTTCCAATCCAATTGGACCCTCCAGCAACCAGCATTTTGAGCCCAGGCAAAACCAGCAGAGGGGCCACCCTGACAATCTACAGAAGCATGAAAAATGAGTCATTGTTGCTTTAAGCTAGTAAGCTTTGGGGTGGTTTGTTACAGAGCAAAGGTGGAGTCTTCATTCAAATGGGATGTTAATGCCTATCCAACTATTCATTTGTTTATTCAACAGTTATTGATCATTTACTATATAACATCTGTAGTATATTCATATGTAATTTTGAGAATCAAATGAGATATTAGATGTTAATATACTTGGTAATATAGTTTTATTGTTATCAACACCTCCCTTTCACTGAGTTCCCATATGTTTTAAGCACTTAAACGCACTTTGTATTTTATCCTCCCAAGGGATCAGATGGCATCATTTTCAGTTATCTCTGATGGAGCCAATCCTTTGACACCTGCCCTTCTATTCTCATTAGCAGATAGGCCTTCCATTGGGTAAAGGACCTCCGGGACTTTCTTCTTACAGGGTCAGAAATTCACTCATGATGGAGAACAAAAACTATTAATAAAGCACTAATATAGAGGACTTTCTATTACCATCCCAATAAGAACCTTTTTTTAAAAAAATCTCTAATAACTATAATAGCTAACATTTATTGAGCACTTACTATGTGCCACGTGCAGTACTAAGCTTTTTAGTGAATGGTCATTGGACTCAACAGCACACTGAGGTAGGTACTATTATTATCCCTATTTGGGGGTAAGGAAACTAAAGACCTAGTAATGTTAAATAACTTGCCCAAAGGCAGACAGCATGAAATGGACCAAGATTCAACTGCTGGTAGTCTGAGCCCAGTGCACTACCCTTAACCACTGCCCTGGTCTACTCACTTTACCTTTTTGAGGCCACGTTTCACCATGGCTCCCAATACTTGTCCAGGACTAAGAATGTGTTGTTGTCAAGCTAAGCTCATTGGAGGTCAAATTGTGTGAGCTTGACCAAGCCACCTCCTTCTCTACACCTCTGCCTCACATCAGGTAAATTAAACAAAGGGTTAGACCAGGTAATGTTGAAAATCCCTTCCTGCCCTGAAAATTAAGATGATAAATTCTTTCCCAACATCTTGTTATATTCCAAGTTTTACTCTCTTTCTTATGAACACAACTAAAGAGCATTAGGGGAGAAAAAAGAAAAGCAGAGGCTATAAAAGTATGTTTATTAACTAACGTAGGGAAATGAAAAGGCAGCAGAGGGGATTCTATTTATATCTCCCTTGAGGATTATGCCTTAATCTATACTGTTTGATTTTTTTAATGCATTCATTCAGAGCTGAGACCCTGTAGGGTGCTCTTTAAGTCTGACACTGAATGAAATAATTCAATTAAAGTAGGCTTGAGGCTTTTACAAGGTATTAAACTCCCTGAAGAGATTTAGGACTTGATCAAGGCCGCTTCAGCACCAGGGCTGATGAGACCACAGGAAAACAGAAGGGGGCTTGATAACAGGGGTTTCTGGAGACATTTGAGGAGTCATCCCAGGCTGCTGGGAGAGGGGGCTGTCAGAGCAGAAGCGGTAGCTCAGGGAAAATAAACTCTGCCTGAAAGCTTCCCAATAGTTCACTGGAGTCTGACATTCACTTCATCATATTACCTTGGATAAAACCTATCCTTCCATAGCAGAAAATGAAATCTAGTAACAGTCTTTAACAAGTACCATTCATTGAGCATTCTCTATATCCTAGGCAGGATATTGACCTAAGCACTTTTCATGCATTAGCTTATATAGTCTTCATAGCTGTATGACGTTAAAAAATCATCAAGCCCAAATGGATAAAGATGTGGTGTATATATACAACGGAACATTACTCAGCCATCAAAGAGAATGGAATCTTGCCATTTGCAATGAGGCAGCTGGAGAGTATTTTGCTAAGCGAAATAAGTCAGAGAAAGACAAATACCATGATTTCACTTATATGTGGAATTTAAGAAACAAGACAGATGAACAGAGAGGGGGAAAAAAAGAGGTAAACCATAAAATAGACTCTCAACTATAGAGAACAAACTGAGGATTGCTGGAGAGGAGGTGGGCTAGGGGATGGCTTAAGTGGGTGACAGGGATGAAGGAGTACACTTGCTGTGAAGAGCACTGGGTGTCGTATGCAAGTGTTGAATCACTAAATTCTAACCTGAAACTAATATTACACTGTATGTTAACTAACTGGAATTTAAATAAAAACTTGAAAAAAACCATCAAGCCCATTTTATAGACGAGAAAACTGAGGTGACAAGTAATGCCAGGACTTGCCCAAGTTTACACAGCTAACAAATTGCAAACTAAAACCCTCGTCTGTGGTGGCAAAGCCAGTGCTCTCCAGCACTATGCCACTTCAAGCGCAGGTGGCATGTTATTGCAGGAAACCGAACCAGGAGAAACGCATGCATACAAAAAAAAAAAGAAAGACACAGTCTCTTTCCTCAGGTGCACACAATCTGGTCAGCAAACATGACTCATGTCAGAATAGCTCATACTAAATTACAAGTAACTAAGGTCAGATCCAAACCTGAGAACAGGTTTCCACAGGGGCAGGGCAGAGAGAACAAGATTACAGGAAGAGGATAGGAAAGGGGCACAGTGAGGACCTTCACAGTCTTGTGTCTGCCCAAGACTGGCTAGTTATCCACCTTTTTTTTAATGCACTGCTAAAATTCTGACTCCAATTCCAATGTATAAGGGATTCTTTCCCCCACCAAGCAACTCTCCAACATCACCTGGGTGTCCTATAATTTTACTCCATTCTGACACTATTTACCCAGCTACAACATTGGATTCCACATGTTAAGGGCTCAGTCCCACAGACTGCACCCCCACCTCCACTTCAGATACAAGCACAGATTTTCCTGACCCACCAGTGATAGGTTGGAAGTTCCAACAACCCCCTCCTTATTTTCAATTAACTTGCTAGAGCAGCTCACAGAACCTGAAGAAACATTTTACTTACTAGATTACCAGTTTATTACAAATGAAGGTAACTCAGGAACAGCCAGCTGGAAGAGATGCATGGGACAAGGCACGGGGAAGGGGTAAGGAGCCACCATGACTTCTTGGCAAGCCAACTCTCTCAAGTCTCCCTGTGTTCACCAGGCCGGAAGCTCTTAGAACCCAGACCGTTGGGGTTTTTATGGAGGCTTCATTACACAGGCACAACAAATTAACTCATTGGCCAATAGTGATTGAACTCAATACTCCAGCCCCTCTTTCCTCCCTGGAGGTCAGAGGGCTGAAACTAGAAGTTTGAGCCTCTAATCATATGGTTGGTTCTCCTGGAAACCAGCCCCCATCCTTAAGTGCCATCCAACTATCACCTCATTGATACAACAAAAAGACAATTTTGTCACTCTTACCACAGGAAATTCCAAGGCTTTTAGGACCACCATGCCAGAAATTGGAATGAAGACCAAATGCCTATTTATTATAAATCACAGTATCACCACCGAGCATTCCATGCCATTAGGAACTGTGTCTTCCTTCCCCAGTATCCAGCACACAGATTTTGTTTGGAGGAAGCAAGAATACCTGAAAGAAAGAAAAGAGAATATACAAAATGAAGTAAGCCAAAGAACAAGAAATCTCAACCCTAAATCTAACCATTCTCCACTGAAGAAAAAAAGGGGAGACAGGGAGAGCAGAGCAGGGCAGGGGCACTCAGAGGAGGTAGGGTCCAGGAGGATGTGAGATCCCTACTTATGAGAGGAGAAAACTCTCTAACAGCCTGAGATATAAGGGAAGCCATTTTATGTTTCTTTCTAAGTCAACATGATTGTGTATAAACTTTAAAACAAAAACCCTGATTTATGGCCCACCAAGCATACATTGTGCACCTGCTTTGTGAATAAGTAGCCTAAAGGAAAACCATCTTGTCCTTAAGATATTAATTAGTGCTCCTACTCCCTGCATTCCTTGTGTTAAAACTTATGATTCCTGCCGACATACTAATGTATAATCTTTCGAGCTCGTACAAGATGTAAAACATATATAACCCCATGTAACATTCTCCGGAACACTTTCTTCCCTGTGAAGACCCTGTTTCCCGGGGAACTTGTCCTAACAGGCTCAAATAAAACTCTCTTTCTTACTTTTAAGGATTCTGAAAGGTTGGTTATTTTGCATCAACACTGTCTGATCAGTTGCAAGAGATGCCAACAGCTGAAATGACCACTCTGAATTGCTAGCCTTAGATCGTACTTATGAATCTTAAGAATGCATTAGAATCAACTGGGGAACATAGTAAGCCAAAGATTGCTGATTTACCCCCACAGGTTCTGATCAGGGAAATTCTGCATTTTTAACTACTTCCCAAGTGATACTAATGTTGCTGGTTTAGGGTCTACCAAGAAACCTTCATTGCCTATTAGAATCACCTTGGGGAGCTTATAAAAACATCCAGAATCCCTGGGGGTGGGACTAAGTTATTTATATGTTTAAGAACTGGGCGCCTGGGTGGCTCAGTCGTTAAGCGTCTGCCTTCGGCTCAGGTCATGATCCCAGGGTCCTGGGATCGAGCCCCGCATTGGGCTCCCTGCTGGGCAGGAAGCCTGATTCTCCCTCCCCCACTCCCCCTGCTTGTGTTCCCGCTCTCACTGTGTCTCTCTCCAACAAATAAATAAATAAATAAAAATCTTTAAAAAAAAATTATGACTAGGTGATTCCAGTGTGCAGCCAAACTAGAGAGTTAGTAATGTAGAAGCATTACTTGAAATTCATGGGCCTGACATTCATACCCATAAAATAACAGCAAATATTTATTGAACACTTAACATGTAAGTCACTCCACTGAGTACATTACTGCTTGATCTCATTTAATCCACACTAGAACCTTTCAAGTAGGGACTATTATTCCCATTTTACTGATAAGGAGAGTGAGTGAAATTAAGTGATTTGTCCTAGGCCATAAACTGGTAAGTGACAACCTGGGAATCCAGCTCAGGTCTACAACTATGCAGACTCAGAACCACAAGACCTCTAAATTTAGCCCCTTCCCCAAGCCACTCAGTGCTCTGGTCTCTGCCTTAAATCTTCAGTGTTTGGCTGAGTCCAGATGCCAACAATTTAAGCTGGAACAACTGGAATCAACTTCATATTTGGCATCATTTACATAGATGATATAGATGATAGATCTGTATTCATAGATACATATATGAATAAACAAATGCAAATCACAGAATGGTTGTTTTCCTAAATTCAATCCTTTTCTAAACCCCGCCACTGTCCTGTTTATAGTCCTTCAATGGCACTTCCAAAAAACAGTTCAAAATCCAAATATGGCATATTCAAGGCCCTTCATGATGGAGCCCCTGCCTGGGACTCCATAGGCCCTCACACTTCCTCCTTGCTTCTCACTATCTACTCTCAGCACCCCAGATCCAACCAGGCCACCATGCCTTTGTCCCTGTTCTTTCTCCTTCCTTCCTCCCTGTCTTCCTGGAGAACTTCTACCTATCCTTTAAAACTCAGGTCAACTATCACTTCTTAACCAAAATCCTCTCCCATCTCCCTTCTCAGAGCAATGACAGCAGCACGTGTATCATATTCCATTTTATCCTTACTATTTCTCATTCCCTATACCCTTAATCAATCCACAGAATTTCCAAAAGACCTTTGTGAAAGGATCCTGGCTCTGCCCTGAGAATGAGACTTTCCCTAAAGACCCTTTCAGTGGACAGTACTCTCTCCCCTGCTCTAGGCCTACAGATGGGGTAGTATCCTTTTTCCTCTCTTCCAGACCACTCTCCTCCCTTCCTCTGTAAAAACCCCTGCAGCTTTGAATCGCCTGTTATCAGATTGCACCACCCATCACCCTCCTTGTTACAGTCCCAGTCCTTAGCTTACACCCTTCATTCCTAGAATATTTAGTTCCTGGCTGGCTGTCTCTTCCTCCAAGCTCAGGTTCCCTGGTCCATTGTTATCATTGCTCCCTCTTGCCCAATCCCCTGGCCTCTTCACTCTGTCATCCTGGCTAAACCACACATGTCTTGGTTAGAACCAAGTCTCTGTCTGCTCTGCACCTACACCCTCTGAAAGCTGAAAGGAGCTGGAGAGAAATAGAGCCATGCCAACTGGGTCGCTGTAAAGTCTGGATCGTGAGCCTCAAGCAGTAAAGTCCATGCATCCTTCTACCTTCCTAGATGATTCTTTCATGCCGTTTCCTTTCTCTGCAAACCCCAAGTCCCCAACCACATTTTCAGCCCTTGACTTGGCTTCTCTAAATCATTAAGAGAAGAAAGGCAATCAAATAGCAACTTCCACAAGCTCCCACCTTCACTTCACTCTCCTGCATGTGCACCCACATTCTCTGATGGCTGTGAGGTAGACAGCTTCCCCTCTGACCACCAAGGATTCCAGATGCTGCAGCATCACTAAGCCCATATTCTGCCCTCTTTGGGCCAAATTCTCTAGCTCCCCTGGATTGGATGACACCACAGAGACAGAAGATAAGCCATGATGGGATGTGGATTTCTTTTCTTTGGTTAAATTAGAAATTTAAACTATTCCTTTGGGGGCGCCTGGATGGCTCAGTTGGTTAAGTGTCTGCCTTCAGCGCAGGTCATGATTCCAGGGTCCTGAGATACAGTCTTGCATCCAGCTCCTTGCTCAGTGGGGAGCCTGCTTCTCCCTCTGCCTGCCACTCCCCCTGCTTGTGCTCTCTCTCTCTCTCTCTGTCAAATAAATAAAATCTTAAAAAAAAAATTTATTTTAATAAAATAAAATAAACTATTCCTTTGTGCTTTGTTCCCAAGTAGAGGATAAGGCTAATGATATGCTAGTATTTCAACATAAAAAAGACTGGCATCCCTGTATTGTTCCTCTGGTAGATGCCCATTTTTCTGGCTTCTACTCATTTCAAGTACAGTGACCCGGAGAAGACAAATAAAATAGGATTTGAGTCCTTAATGTGTTGTGTGTTTATTTGGATTTACCAAGACCAATTCAATCAGTAAAAATAAAATCTTATTCAGTCTTTTCCCCTTGTAATCATTGGAAGATCTCAGAAGTGAATAGTGTATGGGGGTGAGAAGTATGTGTGGAGGGAGATGGAGGTAAGATGAAATGCTACTTTTTGTGAGCTTTTTAAAAAAGTCTTCACTTTTCCCAGACAATTTTTGAAAAAGAGTACCATGTATGATTTTTCTCTCCTTCCTTTCTAGCCCAAACTGTCAACAGTTCAAATTCCCACTTTCCTATTACACTAGTTAAGCTTATAGGAAAGAGTATTCTAAGGGTATTTGCATTTTAATTTACATTGAAGACTTACACATCTGCCTTGGCATTATGCAAATGCTTTATGTCTGTTATTTCCATCTTTATGCTCATCTTCACAGGATTGGTAGTGTTTTATCATCATCCCCATTTACAGATTTGGAAACAGGCTTAGATAAATTCAGGGATCAGCCCAAGGTCTCTAGCTACTAAGTCGGGGAGCTGCGGATCAAACATAGGCAGTCTGACTCCTGAGTGTGTATAGGAGGGATGTCCCAACACCTTCTGTTAGTTCCCCTCTCTGAGATTCACTCAGTTGTATCCTACAGTCCATTGGGTATTTAAGAGGAGAATGGGATGAATGGGGTCAAGTTTCACTGAGAAGATAAAAGACGAGTTAGGTCAACAGAATAGATCACTGCCTCAGGATAAAAGTCAGCAAAGGCAAAATGCAAATTCTAAGTAGAAAAAAAAACCTATTACATTTTAAATTCTTATCTGCTAACACAGTGGAAAGGGTGGAAAACCCGAGTCTCTAAGTAGCTTAAGGAAGCAATCTAAGATACTGATTTCTAGAATGAAAACTGCCAAGATTTAAAGCCAGGCTCTTCTTACTATGTGATCTCGGGCCACTTATTTAACCCTCAGGTTCTTCCTAGGCAAATAGGGATAGTAATAGCAGCAACTTCAGAGTCAAGTTGGTACCAAGTGTTCACCAAAGGGACATTAAACTTTGAATGCAGTATGAGAGACTGAATAGACAGTGGCCAGATTGTTTGTAAAAATAAAACTCTAACCCACTATCTGCAACCAGCCCAGGAAACCAACCCATTATCTATAGTAATGAGCGCAGGAAACCAGCCTACTTACTGTTTGTAAGTCTGACGTATAAAAAGACCACTATCTCTAGAAAAAAATCCATGAAACCAAATAACTTCTGAAACAATCAGCCTCAAATTGTCAGGACTTCATTCATAACTGGCACCTTCATTGAATTTTGTCCTCACTTCTAACTTAGAACCAACCAGAGAGAGCCAATCACACCATTAACCAATCACACAAGATATCCTGCTTCTAATTAGCCCACCTACAACTTCCTCATGCTAACAGCCTTTAACAGGAGTGTACCTGAAGTCTTCCCTTTTCTTCTCTCTAAAGCCTTCCCACTACTCTGCCTGCTTTTGAGTCTCAACCAAAACACAAGTTATGGTGGCTGAATCTCTTGTTATATCCCTTGAAAGTCCTGACTAAATTGATTTCACCTGTTCCCATTGGGTTGGTCTTCATTTATTTCCACAAACCTTAACTGAGTTCATTCA